GTCGACTGCTGCGGGCCTCGCGGCCAAGGATGATTGCGTCATCATTTCAGCCACGGCTTGGCTTGAAGACCGGTTCCTGGTCTACTCCTGGCTGGGCGTTGTTTGGAATGGGGAGTGCGCGTTCTTGCGGACGTGCAACCGCACGCGGGAGTTTCGTGAGTCGTTTGCGGGCTGCGGGCGGCTGTCCTTTCACAGCTTGGACGGCATGGAGGCATGGCTTGCCGATAACGATGAGGACATCAGGGCCTCAACTCCCTCACGTGTGCAATCTACGAGCTTGAGCGACGATGAGAAAGGGGGGCATGCATCAGCGCCAGACCAAACACCAACCAACCCAACCGCAGCAACAACAACGACAGCAACAGCAGCAGCAAATGTGGTCACGTCTCAAAGACGAACCAGGGAAGCCACGCTGGACAAGAAAGAGACAGGCCTCGCACAACATGCACACCAACGAGGCCATAGCCCTCATTCGCAGCGTGTAACACATCACACAGAGACCGCAGGCCCAGGGGCAGGCGGCTGCTCCCTGTGCCCAGCGCGCCTATCTGTTGCGCTTACACGCACGTGCCAGGAAGACCTTGAGGCCTTTCATCGCATGAGGGCGCGGATGGGATCACCGCGCGGGCGCAACTTCTACTTTCACGTGACGGGCGGTATTGAAGAGATGCACCTGGCCGATGTTGATGACGTTTGCGTGGCATGTCGGGACACGCGCCATGTGATTGCTCGCTGCAGCTTCACCAACGTGAGCAAGCTCTTGTGGATTCTTGCCGCAGACCAATGCACCCTGGATGCACGTTTCCACCACGTCCGTAGTGTCAAGTTGCTGGGACAAGGCAACACCATCACAGATGTTTCAGCTTTGGATGGTGTGGCGGATGTCTCGTTGCGTGCCCTCTCAGGGATGGACCTCAGCCCTCTGCGTTGTGCTCAGCGCGTGTCGCTCACGAGGGTGGGTGCGGACTTGACCCCTCTCAGGGACGTTCCCTGTCTCAATCTGTCCGGGTACACTGCGCACAGCTTGCGGTCCAAGGTTGGCCAGCACATCACGTTGAACGCCACCCAACTTGTCCTTCTTGTCCAGCCAACACGGCTTCCCACCGCCACCGCCACCGCCACCACCACAACCACCACACCACCGCCGAAACTGCACCTTCATCTCCCACGCGCGGCCCGTTTCGCTGTCGAATGCAATGAGTTGCACAGCATCGACTGCATGCCGAGTGTTGACATCGCGTGCCTGACGAACTGCACTGCTCTGGAGGAGCTGCCGCCCTTTGCACACGCCAACAAGGTGGTCATCAACACGCGCCTGACACGCGAGGTGGTGGCTGCATTGAGCGCGCGCGTGAACCTCCTCGTGCTTCAGGGAGACGCAACGCGCGACCTCTCCGCACTGTCTGCGGTGGCGGCCGGAACACGCGTGCAGCTGCACGACGTTCAGGCTGCTGACATCAAGGACACACTGCCGTCTTTCGTGCAGAGAGTGGGCCTGTCTGTTCGCGGGCGACTGCGTACCAACGTAGCCATGCTGGAGCACGTGCGATACTTGACGGTGAATGCTGCGATTGTCAATGGAACCCGCCACATGTCCACTCTCATTGGCTTGGAGCGCCTTCGCCATCTCCGGCACGTCACCTTGCGCCATCAGCATATAGAAGCCGTCTTCTCGTCCTGCGAGCAAGTGCACCTGTACAATTGTGCTGGCACTGTCCGCGTCCGCGACACGGACACGTTCGTGTGTGCGTATGCGCCCAACATTACCGTTGAGGAGCTGTCGTGCGTGGGCGCCGTGAGATTCGAAGGCCCGGGCCCCATGACGCTTGCAGGCCCCGTCATCAGTGACGTGAATTCGATGCAGGTGCACTCGCGTCGGCTCAGTGACTTGAGCCTGTTTGCCGGCGTGCGGCGGCTGGCGTTGCAGCGGTGCACATTTGATAGCGTTGACTCGCTGCCTGCTGTGCAGACGCTTGTCATCTCAGACTGCCGTGACTCCAGCCACGTTTTGTGGCCGTCTGTTACGCTTGTCAACAGAACGAAGGACGAAATCAAGCGTGCGCTCACGGGTCAGAGAGCATCCAGCGTGTGAGGGAGGGCTAGAGGGACGCAAGGAAAGAGAGAACGCAATTGTGTTTGTGTGTATGTGTGCGTATGTGTGTGTGTGTGTGCGTGCGCGAATGCGTTTGTGCGCGAATGCGTTTGTGCGTGTGCGTGTGTGTGTTTGTGTGTGAGTACATGGCGTTTGCCTTGTCTTTTTGTTCTGGCAGATGTCGCTGGCGACCCTTGGTTTCGCCTTGAGACTTCACGATCTGTTACAGGGCACGGTTGATGCAGCTGCCCACAAGCCCACTGACCAAGCAGCAGAGCAGCAGCAGACGAACATACAGTAAACCACTCAAGTGCCAAGGCAAGCAGAACAGACCATCAGTCCCACTTTGAGGATCTGGGAAGCTTGTTTGTAATCAGCACCCAGCAGCACAGCACGTCGCGCTCATCATGCTGCTTCGCAGTGGTTGCTTGTGCAGGCGTGTTTGCGATGACGGCGATATGTCACGGAAAGTGTGTAATGAATGGTTCCAACAGAACATCCGCAGAAGTGCCTGCAGGCAGAAAGCAAAGCAAAACAAGAAACAGAAGGAAAAGGAGCGACGGAAGAAAGATGGCCACTCAAACCAATACACACACACAGACACAGAGCACACACACACACACACACACACACAAGCGTGAACAGACACAAAACAATGCAGACAGACAGACAAATAGACGCACACACACACACAAGCGCACATTTACACAAACAAACACACACACACACACACACAAGCAGACAGTGACAACTCAGTAGTAGGCGGTGTGGTAGCTGGCAACCATGCGCAGGAGGGTGCGGTGTGAGGCGAACAGGTTAAGGCCGCCGTGCACCATCATCCAGCGCGCGTGCTCGGCATCGTCGCCGCCCTGGAGCTTGAGCCTTGCGGCGTGGCGCCCGCTCTCATCGTGGAAGTTGACGCACGTCGTCTCCACCCACGCGTTGTCCGTGTTGCGCGGATCCTCGCTGTAGATGCGGCCAACCACGGCACCATCGGCAAAGAGGGAAGCCACAGACTCCTCCTCGTCCTTGCTCAGCGCACCACGCTTGTCTTTGGTGCCGAGGGCCTCCTCCATGAACTCGCGCCCGCTTGCCGTCGCACGGTCCTCCCCGTTGTCGACAAAGCCACCTGGGATGGCCCACATCTTGTTGTCCATGCGCTGAATGGCCACAAACTCCAGCACCTTCTTGCCGTCGCGCTCCAGGATGCTGCCGTCTGATGATCGCTTCCACCGCGTCACCACCGTGTCCGCTGCCTGGTTCACGCCCCACTTGCCCAGCAGGCCGCGGCCTGTCATGCCCGTGCGTCCCCACGGGTTGATGGGGCGACCGGTGTTGCTGTCGATGCTGATGCCGCTTGGGTGGCACGACGTGCGATCAACCACCTTGCCGTTCACCTCGTCCTTCACATTGAACTTGATCTTGCGCGGGTCGGCAGGGTCCGCCCACACGGGCTGCGCCGCCACAGACGGGTGCGTGTACTCGACGGGCTTGTAGATGGGGCACTCCACGTCCCAGGGGACCTGTGACGCGTCAAAGACGAAGCGCTTCACACCGTTCGATCCTGAGTACTCTTCTGGTGGCAGGTAGAACAGCTTGGGCTTCTTTCCAACGACGGCACTCTGTACAAACACGCCACAATGCACCACAGCACAGGTCGGGTGCAGAAGGGGGCGGGGATGAGCTTACAAGAGGGCATGGAAGAACGTACGGATCGAAAGTACCACAGGCACAAACAACATCCGCTTGGGCATGCACGCGTACATCGACACACACCCACACCCACACACACCCACACACACATACACACACCCACACCCACACCCACACCCACACCCACACACACCCACACACACATACACACACACCCCCCCCCCCCCCCCCACACACGCACACACACGCACACACACGCACACACACACACACACACACACACACACACACACACACACACACACACACACACCATGGAGGATGTGCGACGGCGGATGGGTCCGTGCGTACTGGTTCCCGTCATCGAGCGGAGACGGCCGGTTCCGTCATCCATACCCGCCATCGCCAGCCCGCTTTCGTCGTGGATCTCCTGCTTGAGCGTGACAATCTGACGGTCCAGGCTGGAGCGGAACGACACCATGTGCTCCAGCAGCTGGTCCATCCGTGACATGACGCCATGAACGTTCTGAAACGTGGCGGCAACGCGGTTCTCCAGGCGCTCGCTCTTCTCCTGTTCCGATTCCCGAAGAAACTTTTCCGTGTTGAACTCCTCAAACTTGGTGATGGCGAGTTTGTGCTCCTTCTTCTGCTGCTTCGACTCGTCATCGTCGTCGTCGTGGCTGTTGCAGCAGCGGCGGAAGCAGTAGGAGAACAGCAGCATCGCGTGCGTGATGAGAATGAGGGGCGCAGGCAGGAAAGGGCGCTCCTTGTATTCCAGGAACAGCTCTGAATCGCACACACACACGCACACACACACACACACACACACACACACACACACGTGAACGCATGCATGAAACACACACACACACACACACACACAAACACACACACATACACACACACAAACACACACACACATACACATGAACAAATCAGAATGAGCCAGTGTAGTTGTTGAAAGTAGCGCGGGGTGCACGCCCCGCACGAAACGTATATGGTGCATCATGTGATGGCAGCACAAGTCAAAACGCGAGTGCGCATGCATGCAGGCAAAGACAGGCAGAGAGGGAAAAGAACCCCATTGACAGCAATGTCATTGCAGGAAAGTAAAACAAATGTGATGTCAGCTGATTACCGTAGTTCTGCTCGCACCACAAGTGCTCGGCCCTGTCCTGCACCTTGATGTACGTGTCGTTGAACATGGCTACAAGGGGTCACACGCGTGGCGTGTAGGAAGGTTGAGAGGAAGCCGGGAGGGGGGAGGTGATAGGAGGTGTGTGAGAAGACTGATGCAAGAACTCGCGCGTGTGTGTGCATGTGTGCGTCTGCATGTGTGCATGTGTGCATGTGTGTGTGTGTGTGTGTGCATGTGTGCCCAAAACCTTATCGTGTAGCAACTAAACACACGGTAACATGCAGTTGAGCCGCACCAATCAGGAGGTTGACGAGCAGGATGTTGGTGACGAGGACGTACACGGCGAGGAAGAACGGAACCATGCGCACTTCCTGAGAGGGCGGAGCAGAGAAACACGAGGCGTAAGTGATGCAAGACCATTGCAGCAAAGGGGGAACGGTCTCATGCGGCAAATTGGGCAAAACTTATCGGGTCACGGATACAGAGCACATGCACACAGGCAGGTAGACAGACAGACAGACACACAGGCAGGTAGACAGACAGACAGACACACAGGCAGGTAGACAGACAGACAGACACACAGGCAGGTAGACAGACAGAGAGAGAGACACCGACACGCACACACACGCACACACACACACGCACACACACACACACACACACACACACACACACACACACACACACACACACACACACACACACACACACACACAGACATGCGTGCCTCACCTCGCGACCGCAGCCTGTGAAAGGGTAGATGGAGACGCAGCCCGCGTCTGCCTGAAGATCGTCCAAGAACAGCTCGCCATAGATCTGGAAGTACGGTTTAAAGAGCACATTGATGACCGTCTGGGAGGAGAAGGGCTCGTCCGGGAACAGCAGCGATTGTGCAGCGATACCGTAGCCTACAGAGCGAGGGCAAATAGAGAGGTGGGGGGGGGGGGAGAGGTCAGGAACACGTACATCGTGAGTAAGAAGAAGTTGGGACTCAACTTCAGGAAATGAAGATGCACAATGTCTATTGGCAAGGAGCCGCCAGAGACACAGACACACACACAGACACAGATACAGACACACACACACACACAGACACAGACACAGATACAGACACACACACGCACACACCAATGAGGAAGATGATGAGGAGGAAGATGAATGTTGTGACGTCCTTGATCATCTCGATCATCATGATGAGTTTGGGGCCGAGGTTCTTGCTGAGGGCGTAGTAGCGCATGAAGCGCAGCCACAGCACCACAACCAGAAACGCGTGGATGCCCTTGGACGCATACTAATCACGTGGTGTCAACACAACGAAAAACACAGGGCAAGTGTGAGCTTGTGTTGAATGGCGTCGAGTCAGAACAGAACGTTGAGCGGAATGGAAGAAGCAAACGCAATACAGCACCACAACAACATGGGGATACATGCGTTCCCCTGCAATGTGTCTTCAGCAACGACCCGCACCTTGTTCTCGCGGTCGCTTGGGTCAGCAACGCGAACACCGAAGCCGGCAAAGAAGAGGGTGATCATGATGAGATCAAGGCGGTTCCACGTGTCGGAAATGTACTCCGCAAACCCATCGAAGAAGATCATCTGGAGTATGTGCGTGTGTGTGTGCGTGCGTGTGTGTGTGTGTGCGTGCGTGCGTGTGTGTGTGCGTGCGTGTGTGTGTGCGTGCGTGTGTGTGAGAGAGTGCGTGCGTGCGTGCGTGTGTGTATTTGGTTATGGGCACTCGACGGTGAGCGTCATGCTGAGCCAACGCGAGAACAAGCACGATGAAATCGTTTGCAACGCCAAAAGAACGACGCACACACACACACACACACACACACACACATACATACATACACACATACACACACAGACAGCCAGGCAGACAGACACACCTGTCTGAGCTCTTCAAGGATGAGGGCGACAAACCAGACGAGGAGAATCCACTCAATGACGCTGATGGTGTCGTTGAGGTTGTCGAGGACGAAGTATGAGGTCAGGATGCACAGCGCAAGATGGGACAGCAGATCTGACAGGAATCTGTTCAGCATCAGCGCAAGGTTGGCAAAAAGGCAGTTGGAAGGAGGTAAGACGAAGTGTTCTGCGGGGCAAGACTGCAGGGACGCACACACACACACACACACACACACACACACACACACACACACACACACACACACACACACACACACACACACGCGCACACACGCACACACACGCACACGCACACAGACACAGACACACACACACACACACACACACACAACCACACACGCACACAGACACACACACATTATGACGAGCGCATGCAGCTGCATGCGCGTTTCGTCTCACCGCGTGTACGGGGCGGCGTAAAACTTGGCAAACTTTCGGCGCAGTGTGTGTGCAGGGGACGTGGTGGCGTGTGCTGCTTCATCCTGCTCGCCCGTGTCAAAGTAGTCACGGCTGTCGGTCTGCTGCGTCTCATCTTTCTTCTGTTGATGTGAATGGTGGTGATAAAGGTGCTGGTGAATCTCGCAGGTGCAGGCGACAACGTCGAATAACCCGTTCAGTCGAAACCACAAGGAACAAGCTGGCATTGGGGCTATGCTCACGTCAACAAGCGGGTGAGAGAACATGCTTGGGCAAGCGGGCACAGGGTGGCTTGCATGGGTAAAGTGTTGCTTGCATGCAAGTAAGCACTCACGTCGTCTTGGAAGTGGATGAAGGGCAGGATGAAGAATGGGAAGAAGAACGCAAGAAGAACCTGTCAACGTACAAGAGAAAAAAATGCGGAGGAAAAGCAGATGAAAATAATTGTCAGCTGTTGAGTCTCAAGAACAGAAAAGTGTCATGAAATTCGCAAGGCGCACGCTTGCAACCAATCGCATAATGCGCGTTCGCGCGCGCGCACACACACACACACACACACACACACACACACACACACACACACACACACACACACACACTCACTCACTCCCTCTCTCAAACACACACGCAGAGGCGCAAAACACATATTGCGCACCGTGATGAATGACGTGACGGACTTGAGTTGTCCGTACCAGTCAGAGTTGATCACGCTCTGCGTCGCTGTGTGCGAGAGGAAAGCCAAGCTGTTGGCATCATACGCAATCTACGACACATGATGATGTACGAAAGGCAAGCATGAGAAGTGAAAGACTTGTTAAGCACAGGAGCACACACACACACACACACACACACACACACACACACACACACACACACACACACACACACACACACACAAAACAGGATGGAGGCGAATTAGTTCGCACCCTGATGGCGTTCTTCTTGTTGAACATGTCGTTCCTGGAGTGCAGCATCTCTGCCGCGCGACGTGAATCGGCGTTGTGGCATTCCTCGAGCACGCCAACCGCAAGCTTCTCAAACTTCCTGTGTTGGATGCCACAAACACAATCAGCCAGGCGTCAGAGGACGCAGAGGGAACACAGGCATGACACCAAGAGCAGTTTCATCCAAGCACAGCCAAGGGTGTGTGGAACCAGCAACAGCAACAAACAAGACCAGCAGCACGACGCACTTGGAAGTCTTCTTCATCTTGGCGCGTTCTTCGGCGAGGTGTGGCCCCTGCAGTGCGCGGTGGGTACTGAGCCGCTCCAGGATGCGGCTCGCCACCAGCGCGTTGATGATCGACTGGTCGCCGCGACGCCAGAACATGTGCGCCATGCGGTACTTGTCCAAGCAGACCGCCCACAGCTGCAGCGTGTGTGTGTGTGTGTGTGTGTGTGTGTGTGTGTGTGTGTGTGTGTGTGTGTGTGTGTGTGTGTGTGCGTGCGTGCGTGTGTGTGTGTGTGCAAGCGCTCAAACCGAAAACGAGCCAAGGAATCAAACGTGCAAGTTCTCACAGATAAGCAGATAGAGGCGACATTCTCCCCTTGCCTCCCCTTCCGCCTCTTCTCCAGTGCCTTGCACAACAACTCACGAAGAGGATGTGGGAGGCAACGGCTTCGCGCTGCACCTCACGCTCTGCTTCGTTCTCCGTTGCCAGCGGCGCTATTGGGGTGACGATCGACGTGCGAGAGCCGGCGCGCGATCCCATGCGATATGGGTTGCCCGGCTCGTCCACGTTGGTGTCAGCAATTGATGTGGCGGCGGTCTCTGGAGCAGAGTCGCGGGTTGAAGATGGGAACGCGTCGTCGGGGTAGATGGAGTAGTCGCGATCAACGCTGAAGTCCTTGGACACGAGACGAGACAGGATCTCCTCCATGCGCTCCACGCAATACGGCGGGCGCATATCTCGGCGCTTCAGCGTTGGGTGGCGGCTGACGCGGTGCTTGGCATTGGCGCTCGTGTTGTTGCCGTTGCTGGTACCCATGTCCGCACCGTCTTGGCCAGCCAGCACTTGCACGTGACTGTGGGGCCGCTTTGCCTCATTCTGATGTGCGTTCGGTGTTCAGGGGATCATGGCTGGCACGGTGAGACGCGTGCAAGAAAGGAGAAGGAGCAAGGAAGCGACAAGAGGGAAGAGGGAAGATGTAACACACGGGACCTCATGGCGATAGGAACATGTCGACAAACACACACACATGGCAGGAAACGGAGTTTCTTGCATGCAGGCAAGCAAGCACGTGGGCCAACAATACCTCGTAGAGTTCCTGGATGGCGAGGACGAACTTGGGGACACGGTTATGCTGAGCAATTGGTGCGTTGTCGGCAGCTCGCTCCATCATTTTCTTGTTTGTCGGTTCAAGCTGGGGGGGGGGAGGTCAGAGTAGTGAAGACAAGCAGAAGCACACATGAGGCTGGGGGAAAAGTCATGTCTTGGTGTGTTTGTGCATGTGTGTGTGTGTGCGTTTGAGTGGAAGTGTCTGCTGTCACATGCATCCTCCAAGCGTACCCTCCAAATTTTGGCGTCATAGCTGAGGTACAGCTCAACAAAGTGCGGTTTGTTGTGCGTCAGCGCTGCCATCAAATTGTCGTTGATGCATGACTCAATCTCATCCTGTGAATGTAAGCACGCGCGCACACGCGAGAGAGAGAGAGAGAGAGAGAGAGAGAGAGAGAGAGAGAGAGAGAGAGAGAGAGAGAGAGAGAGAGAGAGAGAGAGAGAGAGAGAGAGAGAGAGAGAGAGAGAGAGAGAGAGAGAGAGAGAGAGAGAG